ACCTGCCCCTTCCATAGCTTACATTTTTCATTTGGGTTTCAACGTTTACCTTCCAGGCATTCTTGGCCTTCACTCGCTACCAAGCTATTATCTACTGCGCAGCTGTGCACTACCCAGCGTTTTTAGATGTTTTGAGATTACCTCACATTTCATGGTATTTTACAGTAAGCTTTTCACCTGCCCCTTCCATAGCTTACATTTTTCATGTGGGTTTCAACGTTTACCTTCCAGGCATTCTTGGCCTATTGATTTGCTTGGTCCTAGCTTTCACTCGCTACCAAGCTACGATCTACTACGCAGCTCTACCCAGCGATCTTAGATTTTTTTCGTTTACCTTACATTTCATGGTATTTTACAGCAAGCTTTTCACCTGCCCCTTCCATAGCTTACATTTTTCATTTGGGTTTCAACGTTTGCCTTCCAGGCATTCTTGGCCTATTGATTTGCTTGGTCCTAGCTTTCACTCGCTACCAAGCTATGATCTACTACGCAGCTATGCACTACCCAGCGTTTTTAGATGTTTTGAGACTACCTTACATTTCATGGTACTTTACACCAAGCTTTTCACCTGCCCCTTTAATAGCTTACTTTTTCACGCGGGTCTCGGTATATCTCGGTGAGATGTGGAGGATCTTTTGTATGCGTGTAGCCACTTTCTGCATTTGTTCAAGCCAATGGCTTGTGGCAGTGCAAATAGCAGAGTCATCTCCAGCCTCAAGACCACTTAGTTACATTTTTCTTCCCCCCCCCCCCTGCAATCATCCGGAGACTCAAAACGTAACTTACCTACGTGGGAGGTCCCTATGTTACATTTACTGAGCCCCCCCCACCCCCTCCCAAACAGTTCACCGTAGATACCTGGGAGGACCTTAACTTACAATTAATTCTGGGCTGGGGACCCCCCGAAAATTGTAACTTACATTTTGGTAGGTCCCCCCCCCAAAACCATGGTTAGTGGGGTAGGGATTATATAAACTGAAAAAAATTGTGCAAAGATTGGGGAGGTTTCCATGCCGATGCAAGCACTGCGTGGCCAGCTGTTCATGCTGATGATGCTCCTGAGGATTGCACAAAGCGCAAGTCACACGCACGCCGTGAGCACGAGACCCAAGCAAAGTCTAAGAAAGTCGAGGCTGAAGCCTACAACTGCGACTGACCTTTAACTTTTACATCAACACCAATGATTCAGGCCTCCCTTACCCAACGTGCAGCCTTTCCTGTACCACAGCCCGCCTATACAAGTGACACTCCAATCAACGCGCCCATCGCCATGGGCTTTGACATGTGCCTTTGGAATGTCCGTTCCTTTAATCTTTAAAGGAAGCCTGAGCCACCTGGCCCTCAACTCACATGCAAGTCAAACACAGGATGAGGCCAAGCGGCGCAGACCAAGCTTTCGCAAATTAGGTGAACAGTGAACACAACCACGGCAAGACAAGAAACCTAGGCTTCTGATTCTGGAGCCACATCGGGGAACTGCCATTGAATATTCACAAGACGGTTTGCGCATGACCTTGAGTCCGTGGAAACTTGGAAAGAATTGAAAGTGCCACAGCAACAGCCACGGCGAAGCAGGGAAGAAGCACCGAGACTGCAGCCACAACAATGCTTTGTGGATGTCACGCGCAAGCCTGGTCACCTACACGACGTGGCTGGAGAGCAGGAACACCAATCCAAACTCAAAATCCGAAGCTGGACCGAGTTCGCAAGACTTCAGAGAAGTGGATATCAAACTGGTGTGTCATCCACTTGTGCAGTTAAAAGTGGGAACAGAGAACCTAAAAGTGCAGGATCGTATGATAACATTGAACCCTGCCCAACACAGCCGCGTTTCTCCCACTAAGAGAACCATGGCCATGTCGGGGAGCCACCCCTGGCGACCAACCAAGGGTGGAGAGGGTGGGTAAAACAAATGAGGGAGCAAATCAGGTGGCTGGGATCTTGAGCCAAAATGTTTTTAAAAAAACACAGGCTCAAGATACCCAGCCACCTCTGTTCCGTTTTCGTTTCCTTGCACCATTTCATGGTTACATGAAACGTCACTACACAACTCCCCCACCCAACCAGCCCAATCTCACATAGCATGTTTTCCGTAAAGCTGGTGTGTCATCCACTTGTACAGTTAAAAGTGGGAACAGAGAACCTAAAAGTGCAGGATCGTATGATAACATTGAACCCTGCCCAACACAGCCACCAACTTTAAAGGTTCTCTGCACATTTCTTACACCGCCTATAACCTGGGCTGATTGTATCACCTTCGTAAACAAGAATGCACGGACAGTCTCCGTTCACCCAAGGCCACCCACATTTCGTGGTCCACCTTCGGGGATCAACGTTGGCG